AAGACCCGCGTGAGCGGCGAAAGGAGGCACTGGTAAAGACATCATCGATGCCATCAGGAAGGGCGCGGGGCTGCCTGGCCAGGAGGCAGCGGGGGACTTCCACTCAACATCGAAGGGGGTTCCACTCAGCAGCGACGTGCCTGGCGCCGAGACCGCAGCCTCGTTTCTGGATTCCTCCCTTTTCTTTGAGAGATGGTTCGGTCAGAAGGGCGCGGCCTGGATAGCGGCTGAAACAGCGAAAGAGAAGAGCGACCCGAAACGCTACGAAGGCTTCCATGCATCGGCACTTCCAGCGCTGCCCCGCAGGCCTCATGTCCATCATCAAGGGCTGTTTGAAGTGGCAGCCAGGCCACAGACTGACCCTCAGACAGGCAAGGCTGTCTGGCTTCATGCAGCCGCCTGGCAAGCTGCAGATCACCGTGAACATGGGGCGGGGCAAGAACGGCGCCGGAACGATAGCAGAGACAGATGTCGACCCAGACTTGCTGCACTTTTGGCAGAACGACCCTTGCTGGGACGGCCTGGCCAAGGAGCGCGTGGACTCGGGGGCAACCCACTCCAGATGCGTTCGAGGAGATGAGATGAGGCGAAAAATTGTAAAAAAAAAAAAAAAAAAAAAAACGAGATCCCAGGCAGTGTGGGCGAGAAGAACCCCCCGAAGTGCCGCAGCCTGAACAGGGGCAAGAAGTTGCGGATGATCCCGTCCGAGCGCTTCGCCGCTTTCGTGCGAGCGCTGAAGAAAAAGTGGCGCCCTTGGCTGCAACAGCTGGGAGACCAAATGCGCCATGCGGTCGCCCTCGACAACATGCCAGAATACCTCGTCAAGCTGAGCGGGAAGCCCATCGTGGAAGAGGATTTTGCCGACAACGCTTTCGCTCACGCGTCGATCCAGCTCATGGAACCAGGCGCGAGGGCGATGGATGGCACGCAGACGGCGGCCGCTCGCTGCTGCACGCGGCCGTCGCCCCGCGGGGGACACGCACCGTGCAAGTGGAGAATGTAGACGGGCAACAAGTCAACCTCGAGCACAAGCCCAGGCCCTTCTACGCGGGAACCCTCGCCGCCCTGCATGACAATGTGCATAGGAGTATAACATCTGTCCTCAGGATTCCGATGGATATCCGAAGCATCCGACGGGTGTCCATCATAGTCTTTCTAGATTTTCCACGGAGCCCCATTGAGTTTCGAATGCGCCCACTGGGCTTCCGCAGGAATCCTGCGGATGTCCGAAGGAACCCTGTTGATTGTTATCGGATTCCGATGGGTTCCCGAAGGAATTCCATGCACTTCCTCGGGATCTTATGGATGTCCTAAGGAACCTTGTACAGTTCCATCCGAGTCCAACTGATTGCCCAACGCAAATCATATGCATGTCCATCGGCATTTCCGATGGAATGAATCGACGTCCTTAGGCTTCCTATAAATATTTAAAGGAATCTCGCAGAGTGCAATTGGATCCTTATGGGTGGCCGAAGGGGCCCTATGGATGTCCTACGGAATCCCATGGTTTTCTTTTTACTTAACAGCGAAGACTGATAGGTTTCTAGTAGGGTCAAAAGAGAGCATCATGACTCCTCAGGAGTCCTGGGCGGAACCCGGACAGAATCCGGCGGCTGCCGTCGGAGCTCAAATCGCTTAGGACATCCTCGCAAAATCGCTCTTGGCGCTCCCAGAACGCCACTCCCGGGCTACATTTTGAATGCCCGGAGCCAGCTGTAGGCCACTTCGTGCTCTTCGACTTCCCAGAACTCCATTCCCGGGCTACATTTTGGATGCCCGGAGCCAACTGTAGGCCACTTCGTGGTCTTCGAGGTCCCAGAACTCCATTCCCGGGCTACATTTTGAATGCCCGGAGCCAACTGTAGACCACTTCCTGGTTTTCGAGTTCCCAGAATTCGATTCCTGGGGATGATTTTGAATGCCTGGAGACAACTGTAGGCCACTTCGTGTTCTTCGAGTTCCCAGAACTCAATTCCCGGGCCGCATTTTGAATGCTGAGGCAGGCTGATGCTGAGGCTGAAGCAGGCTGAGGCTGAGGCAGGCTGAGGAGGCTGAGGCTGAGGAGGCTGAAGCAGGCTGATGCTGAGGCAGGCTGAGGCTGAGGCAGGCTGAGGCTGAGGCTGAGGCTGAGGCTGAGGGCTGAGGCTGAGGCTGAGGCAGGCTGAGGCTGAGGCTGAGGCAGGCTGATGGAGGCAGGCTGAGGCTGAGGCTGAGGCTGAGGCTGCAGGCTGAGGCTGAGGCTGAGGCTGAGGCCGAGGCTGAGCAGACTGAGGCTGAGGCTGAGCAGGCTGAGGCTGAGGCTGAGGCAGGCTGAGGCTGAGGCTGAGGCAGGCTGATGCTGAGGCAGGCTGAGGCTGAGGCTGAGGCTGATGCAGGCTGAGGCTGAGGCAGGCTGAGGCTGAGGCCGAGGCTGAAGGCAGACTGAGGCTGAGGCTGAAGCAGGCTGAGGCTGAGGCTGAGGCAGGCTGAGGCTGAGGCTGAGGCAGGCTGATGCTGAGGCAGGCTGAGGCTGAGGCTGAGGCTGATGCAGGCTGAGGCTGAGGCAGGCTGAGGCTGAGGCCGAGGCTGAAGGCAGACTGAGGCTGAGGCTGAAGCAGGCTGAGGCTGAGGCTGAGGCAGGCTGAGGCTGAGGCTGAGGCAGGCTGATGCTGAGGCAGGCTGAGGCTGAGGCTGAGGCTGATGCAGGCTGAGGCTGAGGCTGAGGCTGAGGCTGAGGCTGAGGCTGAGGCAGGCTGAGGCTGAAGGCTGAGGCTGAGGCTGAGGCTGAGGCTGAAGCAGGCTGAGGCTGAGGCTGAGGCAGGCTGAGGCTGAGGCTGAGGCAGGCTGATGCTGAGGCAGGCTGAGGCTGAGGCTGAGGCTGATGCAGGCTGAGGCTGAGGCAGGCTGAGGCTGAGGCCGAGGCTGAAGGCAGACTGAGCTGAGGCTGAAGCAGGCTGAGGCTGAGGCTGAGGCAGGCTGAGGCTGAGGCTGAGGCAGGCTGAGGCTGAGGCTGAGGCTGAGGCTGAGGCTGAGGCTGAGGCTGAGGCTGAGGCAGGCTGAGGCTGAGGCTGTGACTGCGACTGCCGTTGCCACTGCGACTGTCATCGCGAATGCGAGTACGACTGTGAGAACAGCAGAATTCTACAACAGGATTCTCATCTGAATCTTAAGGGGAATGCTTCCAGATATGCTCCTACACATCGCTGTTAGGTTGCTTTGCCGAGATAATTTTGGAATCCCATGGATATCAGAGGGATTCCTATGGATGTCCACGGACATCCGATGGATTATCTAAGGAATCCAACGGAATTCCTAAAGAATTCAATAGGTCGGTGTGATTCCTGTGGGTGTCCTCAGGCATCCTATGGATTTCCATTGGGGCCGACGGATGCCTTGAAGATCCCCATTGATTGCCTTTGGGTTCCCATGGGTATCTTCAAGCATCCTGTGGATGTCCATGGGGTTTCTATGTGCTTCCTACTGAACCGTATGGATGTCCTAAAAATGTCGATGTATATCCTTCTGTGCCCCATGAGTGTCCATCGGACCCCTATTGATTCGTAAGGAACCCTTTGGTTTTCATTATTACCATGGACGTTTAGGACCATCTTGATGATCAGCATAATCGTCATCATCTTCATCATTATGGTGAGATCCCCAGGAAAACGTTTACTGTTCCGCCTGGACCCCGAACTTTACTATTCCCAGGGGGTTATTATCGCGAGCGCAGCGTTACGTTTATATACAACGAGGCCGGCGCGTTCAGCGCAGCGCGGGGTCGGACAAAAACGGTCGATCCGTCTACGGTCGGCTCCTTTCGTAGTGCAGTTTCTACATGGTGAGGTGCGACGGAATGGATGGACTCAGGAAACATGCGGGTGAAGCGGCGGAGGGAACATTCGCAATGAAAAAGTTTACAGCATCAAACATGTGCTACGCAATTGCCTTGCTGATGCGATGTACGGGGCTTGGGTGATTGTCCGTGCAAGGTTCCCGTTCGCCCCCAACCGTTTGCCCGAAAACGTGGAACATGTGGGTCGCATCCTTCCAAGCCGCGTTTCGTTTTGCTTCGGTATTGAAGGGAAAGGCGTTGAATGGGCGAAAGGGGGCGACATTGAAATGGCGCGTCAGCCGCTGTTGAGGTCCACCTTGTCGAGAGTTGGCCGTGTTGAGCGCATGCGTAGGTAAGGTGACAAGTTGTCCTGTGCTCTTCGCTCTTGGCGTGATCCTTCCGGTTATGAAAAGACCGTAACGACGGCCCCCAGGAACGTTCCGTTTTGGCTTCCGTACTCCATATTGTTTGTAGTCACCCACTAAGATGCGGGAGCCAAACGTGCAATCAATTTCATGAAGTGGTGACATGTATGTGGCGCGCGAACTACTATTGAGGTTTATGTCGTCGAGGATTGTACCATGCCTCAGTGTGCCAGGGGCATGCAGGCGGGTTCGAACCTTGCGGTGCAAGATGTTTCCCGGACCGCCCGAATCAACGTTGAGGCGTTTGGCAAGCCGAGGCTTTGAGCGGGCAAAAGCAATCGAACCTTCAACAAAAACACGCGCATTCAGATACCAGCGTTGGGTTGGCGTTTCTGGGGCATCAGCATGCCCGGCCTGCCAGTGGGGTTCGAGTCGCTTGTCCATGTATGGGAAGGAGAAGTCATAGGACCAGTAGGACGCAGAGGTTCAATGGTTCTGTCGGGTGCGGTGCACATGATGCAGGTGTTGTAGGCCTATGACGGAGGCAATCATATGAATATGGCGCGATTTCGGTTTGCGTAGCAATCAGGGAGGAGAGAGGAGGGCGTGTGAAGTAGGACTGCCCTGAATGTAAACAAGCAGCCTCGAATGCTCGAGCCCCAGTCCTGTTTTGTGTGCTTGTGGAAACGCCGATCAGCATCTCAGGAGGAACTGTTGACTGTCGGCGCGTCCAGAAAAAGAAAGGTGTGGGGACGAGGAGAATGAATCGCGAAAAGGGCCCTAAGCACTCCGTCTGCCTCCTCTGTTGCATCGTTTCTCGTATTGTTTTGTTTCAGTGTGCGTATAATGCGTTAGCGCGCGTGTGGCTGAACTGCCTCACCATGCAGAACCCCATGTCGCCCAGCAACCAGCCGGGGAGCTGCACCCTTCCATGCATTGGTATTTGTCTCGGTCCACCGCTTATCGGGTCGGTTTTTCTAGAGGTTTGTCTTTGCTTCTTTCGTCAAGGCTGCACTATGGCCATTCTGGCAGATCCCGAAAACATGGCACTTGCATAGCTACGTGATAGTGTGTGCTGGTGTTTCCAGCAATGTTCAATGTCTATGCGCATGACACTTCACGTTTATACCTGCTCACGTGCACGTGCATGTCGGAGTGCTTGTTCTCGTAGTTAGCTTCGTTTGCGAACGTGCAGTTGCACGATGGGTGCGCGCGAGTGTGACTGCGCATTCACTGAACCTGCATGCCTGCCTCGCTACCCCCCTGGCACGCCCTGTCTCCGCGGTGCCCCTAAGTACCAGGGTTGCCCACCCCACCCCACCCCACACCACACTCCCGTCTACCCTGCTCTGCTCCTTGCTCCCTGCTTCATCTTCCCCCCATTTACGCATCCTCCTCCTCCTTGTCCTCCTCCTCCTCCTCCTCCCTCCTCCTCTGCCTCTTCTTCCTCCATTATTCCTCCTTCTCCTCTTCCTCCTCCTCCTCCTCCTCCTCCTCCTCCTCTTCCACCTCTGAGCCATGATGTGGTCATCGTCTCTCAACTTCGGCCAGGAACTCAAGGCAAGACTCGCTGCTATTCGCGCTGGGTGGCATTCACTCGGCTCTTTCTGGCATCTCGCTGGGGTGCCACACCGTTTCCAACGTTATATGTTGTTGTGCAAGGTCTATAACACGGCGTTGTCTGGTCTGGAGGCCTACTTGCCGTCCGGCGTTGATTTTGCTAAGCTCACGAGTGTGGTCGCAGCTTACGCGCGCAAAGCCATGCGGGGTGCTGCCTGTGATCGTGACGCTGAAGGTCACCCACGTTCGCCCACAAACGTTGAGGTTCTAAAATGGTGGCGACTGGTGCCTATAGATCTCGAGGCCCGCATTCGCCGTCTACGTCTACTTCAGGAATTCGTAGGACATCCTGAGGAGCACATTCAAGTCTTGGGGGATCCTTTGTTCTTATGCTGGTGCTCGGGGACCCCGCTATGATGTGTTTACTCCTTCTGGTCGTCTGGTTCCCACGGCGCAGCCGTGGGCTCGGAGGTTCTGGGGATATGTTGAGGCCTTGTGGGTGCTGGGAGTGTCTTTGCTCGACTATTTGGATGGACTATTTCGGTTTGCATTGCACCGAATAATTATGCTCCCGGAGATGACAAGACCATTTATGTGGGTGCGAATGCTCCTGAGCCTCCCGCCCCCGTGTTCGGACGTGAAGGTGTGTATCATTATCAGCTTCTTTGTAAGGATGGGCCGGCGTGCAATTCTATTCTTCCTGATCGGCTGCTGTTCATACACATCGTTGAACGACACGGCCACCGTATGGTTGCGAATATTCTTGCGCTCGGCAATCAATCCCCTGTGTGTCACACTATCTTCAGTTCCCAGGTCACGTGCCGACGACATCTGGCGTTATCGTGTTCTCGTGGGTTCTGCAAAACAGATGCCTCTGGCCACTATTGCCGTTCCTTCGACATTGCAGTGTCCGTTATGTGACATAGCGTCGGGCTCCTTTCTGGTCTTGCAGAAGCATTTGATGTCTCACCTGCATCCTTGTCCGCTCCCTGCCCCGTCGCTGGTCGACGATGGAGGGCGCCCCCGCCTGGATGGCCAAGGTCACAGCGTCGGAGGGCGACGAAAGCGGCTCCAAGCGGGCCAAGGTTGTGGCCGAGGCTCGTGGGAAATGCGGCGACATTCTGCGCCAGTTGGTATAGATCCTCGTCAAGCTGAGCATGGCCAACAGCGCCGAGTTGCGCGACGTGTGCGGAGTCATCTACATCATTTTTCCTATCAAGTCAGATCAGCTCGCTATGAAGGCTTGGCGCAAGGCAGGACAGACGTACCACGCCGAGGTCCAGCGCCGCAAGGCCGAGGGAGAGGATCTCGAGTCCTTGGGCCCCCGCCGTGCGTTCAGGTCTGGTGCGCCCTCATTCAGGCCATCGGCACAGATCCCTTGTGCCCGCAGGACTGCCGCAAAGCCAGCGAGCACTACTGGAAGGAGCTGCTGGTGCCCATGCCGTTGCAGCGTGTCGGAGAGCACGTCCGCCACTGCCGCGTCTGCCAGACTCGCAAGGTCGAACCCAAGGACGAGAGGATGCGCTTGATATTCGCCGTGGACTCAGGGTACAGACCGCTGGAGAAGACGCTGATCCAGTACTTCGTGCCGGTCGGGGGCGAGCGCAAGCTGGGCACTGCTCCCCGTGGCGCCTTAGCGCGCGAAGCGTCTCGTCTCCTGGAGAAGCTCGGAGAGGGCAAGCCGAAGAAGGAAGCGAAGGATGGCAAGAAGGGTGACTGAACGTTCCTGGTTGGTTCTGGTTCTGGGCTTATGATTTTTGAAAGAGCGCGTTCTACCGCTGCTGGCGGAAAACCGGGGGGTCACTACCGGTTCGAACCCCTCCCCCCCCACCCTTCCGGAAAACCGAGGGGGGTCATTACCGGTTCGAACCCCTCCCCCCCCCAAGTCATCATGAAAAGGGGGGGGGGGTCACTACCGGTTCGAACCCCCCCCCCCCCTCGAAAACTGGGATGGGTCACTACCGGTTCGAATCCCCCCCCCTCGAAAACCGAGGGGGGGTGCGGACAGTGGTGGGGACGGTGGTGGTGGGGACAGTGGCGAGGGGACAGCGGGACAGTGGTGGGGACAGTGGGACAGTGGTCGGGAAGGTAGTGGTGGGGACAGTGGTGAGGACAATGGTGGGGACAGTGGGGACAGTGGACAGTGGTGGGGACGGTGGTGGTGGGGACAGTGGACAGTGGGGACAGTGGGAATGAGGTGGAAACAGTGGAGTGTACAGTGGTGGTGGGGACAGTGGTGAAGGCGGTGGCGAGGACGGCGGTGGGACAATGGGACGGAGGTACAGTGGGGACAGTGGTGGGGACAGTGGGGACAGTGGTGGGATGGTGGGAACAGTGGGACAGCTCAGTGGGACAGCGGAGGAGTCAGTGGGACAGTGGGGGCAGTGGGGATAGTCGGGCAGTGGTTGGGGACGTGGACAAAGTGGGGAGAGTGGACCGTGGTGGAAACAGTGGTGGGGACAGTGGGGACAGTGCGACAGTAGTGGGGGCACTGGTGGGGACAGTAGGGACGGTGGTGGAACCAGCGGGGACAGCGGTGGTGAGGACAGTGGCGCTGGGAACAACAGCGGGGGATGTGATGCGGACGGTGGTAGGGACCGGGAGTCGTTTGCTGGCGGTGAGTGGGGGTGGGTGGGGAGGGGTTCGAACCGGTAGTGACCCCCCCTCCGGTTTTCAAGGGGGGGGGGTTCGAACCGGTAGTGGCCCCCCGCGGTTTCGTGGGGGAGGGGGGGGGGAGGGGTTAGGGGAGGGGGGGGGGTGCCGGGGGAGGGGAGTGGGGGGGGGTCCAGCAGAGGGGGGGGGATTCTCGGAGGGGGGGGAACCCCGGGTTCCGGAGGAAAAGGGGGGCAATTTTCCACAGTAAAGCGGCGGTGGATCACGCTCTCTCTTTAGATTGTGCTTCTTCTCCTGGAGTACGGCTTGTCGAGGTTTTGACTGATTCGGTTTTGTGTGGTGTATCTCCGGTTTTGACCGACGGTTCTTCTTCAGGTTGGGTCTGTTGCTTTTGGTGTATTCCGCGGCGAGCCTGCTGTACTTCGGAGCCCCGGTGAGCATGCTGTTCCAGGCCGGCTGCCAGTAGTCAGCCTAATCCGTAGACTAGGGGAGAGGGGCCCAGTTATCGTCAGTGCCGCCTCGTCGAGAACCCCCCATGTTCCCTCCAACCTTGCGACTAGTCAGCGTCTCTCCGAGTTGGTCGCTCGAGGCTCTTTCGCTTCGGATCCTCCTCGTTCTGAGCCTCCCTCGCCTGCTCCTGGATTGCGACCGCTTCGCGAGCTGTCGGGTCCTTTTGTGCCGATGCCTTGTCGTTCTCGACGTTCGAGGCCTCCTCGGCCGCCGTAGGTAATTCGGGCTCGAATCGAGCGGTGCCCATCTCAGCCGACGGGCGGGTCGAGGGCCTCAGGTGGTGTCCCCATCAGCAGCGCCCGCTGGTGAGGGAAGTCGCGGATTTTGCGCCGCCAATCAGATGCTATTTTTTTATCGCCGCCGCCGTCAGACAGCAGTGGGCAGCATCCGAGAATCTTGCTTGCTTGCTTGCTCCTCCTCCTCGTCGTCCTCCTCCTCGTCCCCCTTATTCTCCTCCTCCTCCCCCTCCTCCCCCCTCCCCCCGCATCCGCAGGATGGGGCTGATCGCGGCGACCTGATGGATCTGGAGGACTGGCCAGCCAGCCGAGCGCTCTCATCGAGCGCTGGGCCCTCGAGCGTTTCTGCCCCATGTGCTTAGCAACCGCTGCAGAGGACAACATCAGTGGCGGCGGCAGCGGTCAGAGGCGGGGGGAGCACAGCAGAGCCCATGCCGCTGGGGGTACTCGATGGCCTCGGCCTCCCAGCTCGAGGTCCGCACCCCCGTCGATCCGAGCCTCCGCCGCGAGAGCAGGACCGGTGGGGCACCTCGCGCTCTGCACGCGTCACGTGCTCCCCCCACCGCTTTGCAAGGGCCGCCGTGAGGGCGCGCAGTTATTCGCGCTTCGCGGTCTGCTCTCCTCGTCGTTCCCATTCCCCATCCCCAGTCTCCTCTTCTTCCTCTGGGGGCGGCGCGAGGGCGCGAAGTTTTCCGCGCAGCGCGAAGCGCGAATCGCGATCTCAGCTGCCCTTGTTTGAAGGCGAAGCCTGCACGCCGGGGCACTTCGGCGCTCGGGAGCGGGCCACCGAGGACTTCTTCTCGGGGGACACCCCGGTCTCCGCGTCCGCCGGGGCGATGTCCCCCGCCTTCGAGCCGCCCAGGCGCCGGCCGGCTGGTGTCATCTGGTGCCATTTTTGGGGGGAGGAGGGTCTCAAGGGCAGCGAGAGTGGGCGATGGGCTCAGAGCGGGGAGGCATGGACCCCCAATCGCCCATTCATCGCCGATAGGGGCCCGATAGCCCATCCCTCCCAGGACCCATGCGGATTCGCTATTGGGGGCCTGTCGCCGATCCGTCGGCGATGTGTCGCCGATCCCAGCTCGATGTTTCCCCTCCTGAGCTGGTCTCCCCATGGCCCATGACGTTCCCCTTAGGGTCGGCAGAGGGGGAGGACGGCAAGGCTTACGTGTCTCTACGGGGGAGCGTTCCCGAGCCCTCCGCGTTCTCTCTAATCATCGGTTCTCGGGTCGGACGAAAGGGGGGGGATGAAGGAAATGTGGGGTGCGACATCTGCTGCATGCAATTGGTTTCGGCCTCGCCGCCAGGCGCTCTCCTCGGTACATTATCGACTCGGTGCCTCCCCGCGCAGCTACGCGAGATAATTGCTATCCACCCTTTCGTTCGCCCCGCTATTTCCCAGTGCATAAGCATTGGCGAAGGCGGGATGGGCATTTCCACTAACACGGTGAAGTACTCGTCCTGGAGGAAAAATGGCACCGGCCGCTCCGAGTGGAAATGTTACTTAACATCGCAGTTCCTTGCACCCTATGGAGGGATCATCCACGAAGGATTCTGATATACTCGTCTAGCATTGGCCTATCTAGTCTCATAGTTTTTCAAAAGGGCAAGCGTGGGCTGGTTTCTCCTTTCTGCATCGCTCTTTCTCTCTCATGCCGTCTCTGTCTGTCTCCGTTCGTCCGAGCTGTCTCCATTCGTCCCACCTGCGTGCCATGCGAGTTACTGAAGGAACAATTGGTAATGGCTTCTTTGTGTTGGAGGTTTGCAGTCAGGCACCCGGACTCTGAGGAGTACTTGACAGTCTCGATTGGGCTCCTCTCCCATCGCCTGCGGGGAAGCTCCGCGGATGCGGCTCGCCAACGGCAAGACAGCGTTGCACACCAAGCCTTCAAGGGCCGCCCAGTGACTCTGCGAGGAGCGAATCTCAAGCTACCTTGGGAACGCGTTGTGAATCTGGTCATGGCTGCTGATGAAATCTTGCCGGAACTCTTGTCCAGCAGCAAATTGCCAATCGGTTGTTGATATTACATTTTTCCGGACATCCTGATTCCACTATCCTATTGTTCGTTCAAAGTACGTCTCTTTGGATTCCCAGATTGCACTCTACTCAGGCGAGTTTCTATTGCAGTAATCGGCATGGTGTCCATTTTCCTTAGTTTCAGGGGGCGGGCGGAAACCTTCTCTACTTTCACCACCTTTGTACTTGATGTCTATACCCACGTTATGATGGGTGCCACTTATCTATTGGTCTTTCTCACTTCTTTGTAGAATAACTATGATGACGTGGTGTGCTGCTTCTTGTCCTATGTTGTGGGGCAGCAGTTGCAGGTGCTTCTGATAGCATCGGCCTCTGCCGCCTTGCTGATGGCTCTTTCGATGATGTTGTGGTGCTGCTGGAAGGGCGCCAGTCTCAAGCGGCCTCATGGTGGTCTCACAGGTTTTCCTCAAGTGGCCCTACAGTGAGGCAACATGTATTCCAGGTACCACGAATATCCTCAATTCTTTACGCTTCGCGTATCCCCACCAGCCCATCTCACAACAGCAATTCTTGCGAAGCATGCCGACAGTCGTGTTTTTCAGGCGTGTGTCCGCTTGGCCCCGCATATCTCCCCTGTTACTCCTTCCTCCCGCCTCCTTGTACATCCTCCTTGTGGGGGGAGCGGGAGAAGGACGAGGCGGAGGAGGAGGGAGAGAAAGCGCTCCTCGTGGTTTGAGTCGTTTGGGGTTTCTCGTCCTGGTGTGAGTCGTTCGGGCCCTTCTTCCTGGTGTGAGAGTCGTTCGGGCTCTTCGTGGTGTGAGTCGTTCGGGAGGTGTGAGTCGTTCGGGCTCGTCCTCGTGGTGTGAGTCGTTCGGGCTCTTCGTGGTGTGAGTCGTTCGGGCTCTTCGTCCTGGTGTGAGTCGTTCGGGCTTCTCGTGGTGTGATCCTGGTGTGAGTCGTTCGGGCCCCTCCTCCTGGTGTGACTCGTTCGGGCTCCTCGTGGTGTGAGTCGTTCGGGGCCCTCGTCGTGGTGTGAGTCGTTCGGGCTCCTCGTGGTGTGAGTCGTTCGGGCGCCTCGTCCTGGTGTGAGTCGTTCGGGCCCCTCCTTCTGGTGTGAGTCGTTCGGGCTCTTCGTGGTGTGAGTCGTTCGGGCCCCTCGTCCTGGTGTGAGTCGTTCGGGCTCCTCGTGGCGTGAGGCGTTCGGGCACCTCGTCCCCTTTTGGGGCGTCTTGGGGGCCTCTTGGCGGCCCCAGGGGCTTCTAGGAGCGTCTTGGGTGCCTTGGGGGAGCCTCTTCGGGCCTCTTGGGAGCCTCTTGGAGGCCGTTTGGGGCGTCTTGGGGGCCTCTTGGCGGCCCCAGGGGCTTCCATGAGCGTCTTGGGTGCCTCGGGGGAGCCTCTTGGGGCCTCTTGGGGGCCTCTTGGGGGCATCTGGGGGGCCTCTTGGAGGCCTCTTGGGGGCCTCCTGGGGGCCTCTTGGGGCCATCTTAGGGCCTCTTGGTGCCTCCTGGGCGCTTCTTGGGGCCATCTTGGAGGAAATCGATCAAAGAAGAGGGGAGCTTTAATTAGCGCTGCCCCCTCAGAAGGGCAACATAGGGCCAAAACCTTTGTAAAATCAATGATTTTGGCTTGAAAGAAGAGGGGAGCTTTAATTAGCGCTGCCCCCTCAGAAGGCGAAAGGGGCCCAAACCGTAGTAAACTCAATGATTGTGGCTTCAAAGAAGGGGCGAGCATTTTTTCTGACTCCCCCCGTCGGGGCCAGAATCCTCGTGAGGGGTGTCGTTTTTTAGCCCTCCCGGGAGTCGAAAATGACCCCTCTGACGACCCGCGGAGGGACCTTTCCAGACCCAGGGGGAGGGGGTAGGTGGAGGGGGAAACCCCTCCCCGAAGGGGAAGAAGGGGGGTTGAGAACAGAGCGGGCTCTCTAAACCACTCACGCCCAAAGGGCTGGTGGGATTTGCTTGCCCTGGATACACTACTGGCCTCACAGTGGAACGATTTGCGGCCCACACGTGGTCCCATACTGGACGCACTCTGTCCCATACTGGTCTCCAGTGTTCGCACGAAGTGGTCCCACAGGGGGGCCACTCAAGGGATCAGCGCCTTCCTCTGTGGCCTCGCCGTGACGCTTCCCGCGGTCTCATGCCCGCACGCATGGCGCACCTGGCGCACCTGGTCCATTGCGCACCTGGTGGCATTCCGAGGCTTTCGCGCCTGGTTCACCTTCGGCGGCGAGCCCATGGGGGGAATGCAGAGGGGGCGGGCCATCTCAGAAGGCTCGGAAATCCCCTGGCCTTCTGAGAAGTTTTCTAAGCCTTCTCTGAAGACAGAGACTGCCTCTCAGAAGGCCGGATGGCTTCTGAGAAGCCCCGCCGCCTTTGACAAGGCTTGCCCCTATTCACTTATCCCACGGACGCGCCACCGACACTTGGCAGGCCTGGCGCACCTGCTGGGCAAGCTTTCAAAAACGCTCCCCTGGCGCACCCATCGCACCTGGTTCTCTCAACCCCCCTTCCCCTTCATTGCCGTCTTTTCCTCCGTATACCCCCCTCGGTTTATGTCAGTTGGCTTCATTTCCTCCTCCGTTCTCCCCCTTCTCCCCCTCGCATCTCCCGATCAGCGTGTTGCCAGCGCTGAAACGGCTGTATACTTGCAAGCCTGGTTTCCGCACCATCTTGCCTCTCCCACTTAATGTTTCTTCCCTCCTCGTGTTTCCCTTCGATTACGTACGGTTTTGCGAGGGGCTGGGCTGCTTCTAATAGAAGTCTAGGTCACCCGCGGGGGCGTGCAGATAAGAGCGCTTCTCGCGTCGCGGTCTTGGCCAGCGCGGCTACCCTTCTCCTAGGGGGCGGCGCGAGGGCGCGAAGATAATCGCGAGTCTCGCATCGCCTGGCGCCATGCGCAAAGTTAGGTAAGGCAAAGCAACCTTGGCTCGCAAACGGCCAGTTTGCTTGTTTTTGCGCGGAACCTTGGCTTGCTCCCCTCCTCTGTTTGCACCAGTGCGCTGGACACATACAGAGCCTCCTGGAGAAACGGCGACAACCCAAGGAAGCCCCATCTTCATGGTCTTCGTCATGCTCTTCGTCCTTTGCCCTTCCTTCCTCCTTCCTCCTCCGACTTCTCCCCCATCATTACTGCTGCTCTTGCTGCTCTTGCTGCTCTTGCTGCTGCTGCTGCTCCTCCTCCTCCTCCTCCTCCTCCTCCTCCTCCCCCCTTCTTCTTTTTTTCCTCCCGCTGTATTTGTTCGTCCACGCCGCGTGATAACAACCTGCCAGCTTCGGCCTCTCGAGTTTGCCGTCGGCATCTCTGGCAGATCTCAGGTTCAAATTCTCCGTGCGCATCATTGGCGCCCTGAAGGGCGTGCTCAATTATTGTTGCCCTGCGCATATCTCAACCGGCCACTTTACACCCCCGCGAAAAAAAGTTTATTACAGAAGTGGCACAGAGATGGAAGCCGAAAGGAGGTAGAACAGACCAGGCGGGGCCCGTCGCATCAAGTGACACCCGCCTGTCAACATTACAGAAAAACGTCTCGTCTGCTTTGCGCGTTGCATGTTAGCCATCCGACTGGTGGGAACGAAACCGCAAGGCAGAACGTAGAACCGCCCACGCCAACGGCTCTGTGAAGGATTAGTTTGGAAGAGCACCCGGGCATTCAGTGGCGTCCGCCTCCCAGTGTTGCCACTCGGCACGCAAGCCAAAGTGTGGCACATCGATGACTTGGCCCATGGTGCACGCCGGCGCACGCTGCCAACATTGAAAGGCGAATCGATCTTAATGATCATTTTTGGGCGTTGCCGTCTGCAGATCATTCACGATGATCGTCTTTTTGATTTTGTTATGAGTTTTCTCACGGCGGTGTGGATGTCGAGCCTGTTCGGGCGTGCTCC